TGCTGGTGTAGCAATCTGTAACGCTTATTGAGTATGGTGGTGCAAGAGTTACACCATGGTTTAATGGGCAAATATCATTTCATTTTCGACTGTTTCATCCAATTGCTACTAATGAAAAAGTCTCCTCATTAGTACAAAATAAATCATTGATTTTTTTGTAACATGCCCTATACAAGGATATGGACATCTGTCAAGTTCAACTGATGAAGTCTTTTATCTTAAAATGTCAAAACCCAATGGAGTGGAATAAAACAGCAAAACATATTTATGCAAAGTTTATGTGATTAAAAATATTTATTATGTGTTTTGTGAAAGAACATTATTTTATTCAAACTGGATGGAATGTCTCATAGGAAAATCCACTTTTTTTTCATAAGTTAAACTGAAGATGTGTTAAGTATATTTTATATGGATGATAGAAGATGTGATGGCAGTTTTCAGTGGATAGCCCCGATGGCCACAGACAGACAGTGTGGTGTTGTGCCCTCAGGCCTTGGTGACTTGAAGTTATTTCAATAAAGTTATTCTCCTCTTCAGCGTGAGCACAGGAGACTGCTGCTCTGAAAGGGCCACATCCAGTCAGAGGTTATACAGCGCTGAGCCGTCTGCGTCTTGAGAGTGGTCCCTCCCTCACATCTTTATTTGGTAGCATAGAGGCAATCCTTTTGACAACTATGTCACCAATTCAGAATCCTCTCACTAGAAGACACACTTTTTCTGTCTCTATGCATGGCAAAAATCTAAAACATTTAATCACAGTATTTCTTGCAATTAAACCTGAACTGCATGTCAAAAATCCTGGCATTCTTAAGGTGTAAAAAGAACTTCTCAAAGCTTTAATTGTTAATTATAGTTATTGCCACTTTTTTAAATAAAAAACTCAAACTATAACAATTTCAACAGGCATTTTAAAGACATTTCCAAATATCACCACTTGATCATTGTATCTCGTGTGAATGCGTTCAAGTTAAGAGTACTTATAAATGCAAGTTAATACCAAATCCAAAGAGCACACTGAAGCTGCAACCTTGATTGGAGTATTCACTTTGTATTAGATTTTTCAGTTCAATTCAACTTTATTTATATAGCACATTTCTATCAGCTTGAGCTGACCAAATACTGCAATAGCATTAAAATGCATGCATCGCTTTGATCAGGGATTTCCAATAGTGTCTCAGTGTTATTCCAATGAAACAGCTGTGAAGTACTCTATGTATCTGCTAATAGTATTAGGCTCTCACTCATGTTGTATCTCCCCAGTGCTTCACACATCTAAGTGTTTTCTGTAATGGCCTATTCCAGGATTCTCATAAAAGCTCACTGACCCATAACTGGAAACAAAAAGGCTTTCGAGCTTAAGGTTAATGCTGCAAGGAGAGATAGAAGTAGAGCTGATGACGGCCACGCGCCGTGCAACACAATCAGATGAGGACGGATGCTGCGGTTGAAAATGATACAGTGATTATTTCAAGGGTAGTATTTTTCCTGTTCCTTTTTGTCACTTGAAGCTACATTGCAATGTTTCTATTTTTAGACTTTTCTGATCATAGAACTTTCCAACATGACTCCTAAAACCAAATGGTTGATGACAACTTCTGACTAATGGGCTAAATTATTAACACATTTGGAAAATATGTAAAAGCTATTTTTCAACTATTCTGATTGTGACTAGATTTGCGACTTATATTTTAATTGTCATATTCTGCCCAGAGTGCACACTCTGATCTAAACACATCCAGGACATTTGAGAGACTGAAATGTGAAGTGATACATTTATACAGTATTACTATTGATGTTTGTAGCGGGCTAGTAACTCAACCAGTTTTATTTATGAGACCCATAGAGGACCATTCCCCATTTAAAAGATATAATATTTAGGTTGCATTGTATTATTGTTATTACCTCGGGAGACGGTTGCCATAGAAACCCACGAATACAAACAGGATAAGTAAATTTTCCCCAAAGTCACCATGCCAGGATCCCTTTTGAAGTGATGACGCCTATATCATCAAAACAGCCTGAAAACTGTGATTAAAAGTGGCTATTTCAATATATTTTATAATACACGCCATGGCCAACATACAATATTCTCACCCAACTGTTGCACGTCAGTTCTTGGCAGTGTTGGACACCGGTAATTAGACTTGTCCGTTTGAATAAAAGACACACATTATCGAACTAATTATATCTCTAAAATGCACTTGGCAACGTGATCACAGTTAGCCGTGTTCATGTGTCCCTCAGAACTGAGAGATGAGATAAGTGATAGAAGCATTTATATTTAGCCTGGGACAGCAGGGGTGTCGCTTATTTTAGGAAGTCAAATTACTGATGTGTTCTTCACTGTCAGGCTCCATTAAATATGATGTTATGTGTTTTGTAGTTACAATTGTTTTAAGTGTCTTGGTAAAAAGACTGTTTACTATTACAGTAGAACTTTTGTATGGCTACGTTTACTATACATTTACTAGTACAGGGGTAGTACTAGTCGTTCTGCAAGTGTTATAACCTTAGTGCAGTTATTAATCTGTTTACATCTCCAAAACTCATAATGCTCTGTTCCACCTTGTGATGTCATGTAATGGTAATTTTCAAGTTAACAGCTACCTTTTAGCTTTTAATTTAGTAGAAACGGGCAATTCCAGAGGTGAAATTATCTAAATTATACTAGTGAAGGTGTATGGAGTTTAAAAACACAGTGGAGCACTTCTTGTATTACCACATCACATCACAAGGTTGAACGGAGTGTTTTCTGTTTTGAGAGAAGAACTCAGCCTAAATATTTGTGTGGGTTTGTGTGTTAAACATGTGTGAATGAAACAAAACACACTGTTTTTGATAAAGAAACAACATTATTACATAGATAAGAAAATAAGGTAATATGAGCTCTGCACATGTAAATGTCTGACTGCAGTGTGATTTTAACCAGTATCCACTGTGTGAACCAACAAAGGTAAGCCAATTTAATAGAAGAAGGTTCTGCATAAACAAAAGGTAATTTTCTGTGACTCAAAGGTGCAAGTTAAAGTTGGCCACAAGAATGCACTGAATAGCCTAATTAAACCAAAATAAACTCTTTTGCACAACACAAATCAAGGAAAACAATGGCAACAACGAGCAGAAATGTAAGGAAACCATAAGTGTCGGTGCACTTTAAATGCTGCCACAGAATATGATAAAGGCCATGGAGCTATAATTTAAAAGAAAGGGCACAAGTAAAGTTAAGCTAAAACACTCAGCCATTCAATGTGTCTGCATACATCCTCTATGAACAGGACTCAAAATTATAGTATTTACACCAAAGAAACTTTGACAGCTGAAGAAAACTTGTTGGTTCATTACAAGCTACCAAGCTCATTTCTCAACAATTTCTCCAATATTATACAGTAATGGAAGCATAATTCTGCATATTATCCTCCATTTTGACAAATAGGTGCTATATAATCGTGTGCACATACCTGAATATATTGCACTTCTAATAACAATTACTTTGGCTTTTGCTCATTAGCCCGGCTTGTAATGAATGGAACAGACGGTGTAGTTAAAAAGCACCTGCTAGAGATTTGAATGCTGACATTTGATTCACGAGATGAGATAGTTGTTTCATTATGAGTTCATATTTGAAGCATTTAACTTCAGAGGGGAGATAGAAATGATCTGAAATTACATCCTCATGACCACAGGTGCACCAAGACACTATAGGAATAGAGATGAGCTGTTGGTTTGCATTCATGATTGAGACAATAAAAAGGATGTATTTTAGGAGCCAACATAAATGAATGATAGTGTAGTTTGTATACTTTGTATGCAGTGCAGAAAACAGTCTCTGGACCAAGTAGTTTTACAAGATGCAACTAACACACCAGCCAAAAGAGGTCATTAGATAAAGCCTGTAAATTATACAGCAAGTAAAACACAAACACCGGGGTAGGGATGAGAGAGAGTGCGCAAATGGGGGGCAACCAATAGAAATTAGCCCATGGCTACAATCCGGCTTGTTTACAGCAGTGTCTCATGTATGTTCATTAACATGCACTGCACCAAATAAACACATGATCAATTATTCTTCATTCTTTTAAACTGAGAGTCCCCAAAGGGATCTCTATCCGCTGCATTTGACCCATCCTTCAGTGGCACTGAAGAAACCTGTTAGCAGTGGTCAGCCACAGTAAAGAGGGACCTATCTGCAGAGCTTGAGCTACAGTTCAGTGGTGCATGTTGTCATACTTAATATAATTAAATATTATACATTATTATTTTAATTTTTCATGTAATTTGCTTTTGACCAACAACCTATTATGTACAAAACATGCCATTGAAAGACTAGAGCACCACATATCTGAAACATATGGGGTTCTTTTTTCTTGCATTAGTTTAAATTTCAGTCTGTGTGATTATAAATGGGTTGTTTTTAGATACATGTGCTTTTTGTGCAGTTTTATACTGAAGAGATCGAATATGCTTTTAATGCCTCAAGCATAAAGTACCACATGAGTTAGAAAATACTGAGTGCATTTTGGCTTGGGAAGGGAGAATCAAATTACAGATAGTTTGCATTTTTCTTGTTTCTTGTTCTTGTTTGCATATACAGTTTTTTTTTTTTTTTTTTTTTTTTTTTAACTTACATACATATTCAGTTTTAAAATAGTGGGAGTCCAAACACCTGTCTTGTCTCGAAATATTTAGAACACAGATGTACAGTATTTTCTTCTCATCCTCGAACATCCTCGAATAAGCAAATTCTCCTCAAAAATGGCGATTGTTCTTGTTCTCTATAGAAGTCATAGAGAACAAGAACAAGTTTGCAGTGTGACTTGTAAGCTGATCTCATTGGGCACAGAAAAGTACTTTTTTTTCTCTTTAAATTCAATAACTGAAAACAAATGATATATTTGGAAGAAAACTTGCCCTGCTTCCTTAGCATGTGCCAAAAATATTTATCTAAAGCAGTTAATCAGGCATGGATGAGTGGTAAAATGAAAGCAGTGGGGCTCCCTTACCTCCCAGTGTGGCTGAGATGAGAATGTGGGTCCCATATTTCTTAATGATAGTGTCGATGAACTGCTGAGTGGTAGGTCTGCGGCCAAGCAAACGCACACTGCGCTGGAACTCCGGCATCAGCGGCACTGGGTTCTGGATCAGGTCCCTCCTCTCTATAGCCGTGTTCCTCACCTTCCAACGTGCAAATTCCCTGATAAGAAAGGAAGAGCAAAACTTTAAATGATACTTTTACTTATCTCAGTCACTGTCACGTCAGCTTCTATTTGACTGCATCTACCAAATGCAAATGTGCTGAGGACAAGTGAGGACATCTGAGCTAAAAAGTGCACAATACTGCTCCATTTTTATCTCTTGGAGAACGTGCTTTGTTTTAGTTGAAAGAACTGTCTGTGATATTCATCTGAAGGTACACGGTGCATTATTTAAAGCACTTTTCTTCTGCTTCGGCGTGAACCACAAAGAGTACGAGCCAATACTCCAACACAATTTTACATAGACTGTAAGTTATCACAGGTCAAGTAGGAAAACTTCATTGTTAATATTTTGTTATTGTATGTTCCTATTTGGACTGGTTGTAGACGAGTGAATAAATATACAGACTGCTTTCACTATAGATGATAAAATGTAAATACATTATTACTGGTAAAAGTGATATTTTAATCTGTATTCCTCTGAAACAGCTCCTCAAAGTCAAAGGATCAACAAACCTCTCTGCCACAAATGGGCGGATATTTTCAAATTGATTGGTTCTTGGTTTGACACACAGTCAGCAATATGTCAGTCTGCTGGGGCCCTGGTTGACTACAGCACTTTTTAATACCCCATTCAGCACTATATATTAGCCTTTCAATTCCACTCTTACGTAACTACAAAAATTTTAAACATACAGTTCCAATTATATAAAAGGGCCCATATTACACTATTCTATGTTACTAAGCTATGTTATAATGTTGTTTCCTCATCACAAATGTACCTGGAGTTATGCCGTAGGTGCGTAGGTTCATGCACAATAAAGAGTTACTCATATATATGTGAACATTATAACATGGCTTAAAGCTCACAAGAGTTAATTTTGTGTAATATAGGACCTTCAAAAAAAATCATATCTCTATCGCAGAATTTGTCTTTCTGGTAGATCCTTTCCACGCACACCTTATACCTATATGTGCTGACTTGGCTATTAAAAAGAAACCACAGTTATTTCTCTAAGTGGAGCAAATGTCAGAAAGAAAAAAAGCCAACTGATTCCTGTGAGTTTTCCATTCTCTTCTCCCCCACCCTACTCTCGTTGATATCAGATCACTTTTACTCAGCCCTCTCCCGGTGCTGGTACTGCCAATTATGATATAAACTTATATGGGAGTGCAGTGCTATTGGAGAGCCCTCTGCCCCAGATTACGGGTGCCAGCAGATGGAAGTTGCACCTTGATTCAGTGCTTTACTCCGCAGCTCCAAGACCGGTTTAATGACCTATCAGTGAAGTTAAGAGGAGATAGATGGCACTGCAGCCGCCTTGCAGGGAAATTGGGAGCTGGGACGATTGCTGCTTTATGGTGTCCAAGTGAGGTTGTGTGGGAGACTACAGGTGCAATATTTGTACGGATGGCCTGTGTTTGACCTCTGAATAACACCACAGCACTGACTTTAATGCAGTCGGCTGTACACCTGTGAGAACATTAGTGTCAAACTTAAAGACCGAGTTGTGAAATTTTAAACACTACCTTTCTAACTGTCAAGAAATAATGTTAGCTTAGCTTTTTATCCAATCATCTCCCAAGCAATTAAACAAATATGATGCGACACAGGTTTAGTTGTCTGACCAGCCAGTCTCTTTTACATTCTGATCGAATCCAGAAGAGACTGGAACCGGACCACAGATGGTGAAAATCCTTTGTTCAAACTTGAGACAATGCAACCACTTCCAATTGCTGATTCTAAATTTTTTTTAATGTTTTTTCACCCTTTTTATGTGTAAAAGTCCATATTTGATTTAGATGTTTTTAATCCACCTGCCAATCACACTCTCTGAAATCGGGGGAACATGATACAGCTCCACTCTACTTGTCTTTGTAAAGTTTTGTCAACACATGTGGTTCTGGCTGGTCAGGCAACAGGCTTAGTGGTTATAGCACTTGTCCACGAACCTGAAGGTCAGTGGTTCAAATCACACCTGCTGTGCTCTTTGGCAAGACACTGTATTCAGGACACTTGCTTGCATAAATGTTATGCAAGCAAGCTACATCCAAAACTATTTTGGATGTAGCCTCTCCTGCACACTTAGATTTCAGAAAATATAATCAAACCTATTTTTTTACATGCTACACAAGCACAGGAGCATATCCCCATCAAAATACATAGAGGGCATGCATCTATTGTTGGATTTGTGCCTTTACTCTCAGCACAATGTGTTTCTGGGGCAGTTTTGTATCATTTGAAAGAGCCCAAGTTCAAAAAGTCTGTTAATAAGTGCTTTGAAATTTACTTTTGAAATCCTCGCATTTGCCTCGATCAGCCTGTGTAAACGGTAAATCCAAGTCTGTTCAGCTGGTTAGTTTCACAGTAGACCTGTTACAAGTGGCTAAACGTGCCTAAATCAAGTTTGATCGGCTTTCCCATTGAGAAACACAGACCCAGAGCAACGCACATGTCCTGCTATTGCTGCCGGTGAGGCCATACTTCCATTGACACATGGCTATGGTTTCGCGAGGTTACGCACGTAAATGTTGATACGTGCAGTGTGGTCAGATGGCAGCCTCGCTTCTGTCTACCCCGTGGTAGCTGTGGCTACAGCACTAGTATCTTACCAACACCAGCTGTGGGGTGAATGAATACAGCAATTGTAAAGTGACAGACTGACAAAAGACTTAAAGGTGCATTGTGTAACTTTTCTCATGTGAGGTCTGTCACCTTCTTGTTTCTATGGATATGTCATTGCTCTACTTGGCAGAGGATGACAAACATCTACTTGGAATGTTCTACAATATGGGATTAAACAGCTCTACCTATTACAGGTGGTTTTATAGCTCAAAAATACCTAGAAAATCCGTCATTCTGCCTGTGAACCTTTCCACAGATCTGACCTGTAACTTGGTCTGGTTTTGTCTTGATGAAGATAGAAAGGTTTAATGCCATACTGTGAAACTTTCCAGACAAAGCAATAACATTTCCATGGAGAAAAGCATTTAGATGGGCCCTCCACCACAAAGGTTACACAATGCACCTTTAAGCATTGTCATTATGTTGTTCTTTCTCAGACCCTTCTGCATCTCAACACCTGAACCTCCAATCAGCTGTATCCAACTGCATTTGATAACTTCAGATTTTGATATTTATTTATTTATTCATTCATTTATTATTACCACACCCCACTTCTTAACAGTAATCCCTCGACTCCATATCTACAGCTGTTGTGGGACAAACTGACATTCACAGGAGCATTACTTCACCAACTGTCCCCTCACAGCCATAGAACCCTGAAACAAGTTGCTTCTTGCCCATGAGCACAAAACAACACATTTCAATTAGAAAACTGAATATGTCTCCCAAACACATTTTATGTCAGTCTCAAAATGAAGCCCAATAACTCCTAGATAGTCTGTGATGTGAAGGACCTTAAGTACTACTGTAATGCAAAGTACTGTCAAAGCAAAATAGCTAGAGGCTCTCATAAAACATAATAGACTTTAGAATAGAACAACAGAATGTGTTTAATTATAATTATGGAGACTCTCCTGCTTTATTTGACAATATAATGAGTCTGGATGTTTGCGTTATGCAGGGTTTTATTAAAAGTTCATATCTCGCTTCATTTACCCGCAGGATAAATACAGAAAGTATTAGTGACTGTCGCATCACAAGGTAAACAGAGGTAACTCAAGGTAAAACATGTCAAACAACTCTGAGTCAACAACAGAACAAAAAGTTTTATTGAAAGAGGTTGACACTGCAAACCTGAGTCAAATTAATCTCCTAGTTTATGGAAAAACGTGAGTAAGATGGGAAATCACAACAAATGCATTATTTAACATGCATAATTAGGATGTTTCAGCCAGTGCCCTGGTTTGATTACTGTGGATTAAGTGATGTTTACCAGGAGTATGACAATCCATTTATCACATCAGCTCTTAATTATGCTACATCAGTCTGCTAAGAGAAGTAATCGAGACTCCCAAATCAAATCACAATTAATATTTTTTTAAAAAAAATTGCTGGAATTTTTTTCATGTTTTTAAAACTTCACATGGAGATTCTTGTTGATAAAAAACTGGTAGAAGACAAAATTTTACTGCCTGATGTTTGTGAACTGACATTTAGATTTAGACAAACTTTACTGATCCACAAAGGGAATTATTTGGACACAGTAGCTCACACATCACAATATAATATGAACAAAGGGCAAAAATATAAAATGGTAATAAGTTCAAAAATAAGCATAAAAAAAAAGGAAAAGACTGGTGTTGATTAAAGCATAATTATATAAATGTAAATGTACAAGTAAAAATAAAAATAAAAATATTTCATGGTACAATAGCTTCTCTCTATACCCACCAGCGTCATATTTGAGTCCTGCATCCATTATCAGCATCAGTGTCAGCCATTGAAGCCTCCCACACAATAACCCTGACCATCATAACTCCTGTTTTATGAATTCAAGCACAAATAAACAAATGTGGTCCCACAATCTACAATCCCAAACACCCAGTGCAGTGCAAACGCTTTTTATTCACTTATCTCATAGGCAGCATCAGCGATAGTGCACATACGGTTCAGGAGTCACCTTATTGTTTTCCTCTATGTATGCTTTCTGATTTGAAATGGAGGGATACTCTGAATATCTCATTTTCTTATGTTATACCTCAGCACATTCAGTGAATGCAATGATTTAGGTGTTGCTACTTTTTAATTTATTTATTTTTATTTTTTTATGTATTACCATTTTCTCTTTGTTATTATTATATTGTGATTTGTGGGCTACTATGTCCAAATCATTTCCCCTGTGGATCAGTAAAGTTTGTAGTCTAAGTCTGTGCTTATTGCTTTGTATTTTAATATTCAAGTTATTAGATTTTATCCAAACATGTTTTTGATGTTAAGTTATAAGCAGCTTTCAACTTAGTTCGGTAAGATGCTGTTGAAAATCTTCTTTGTCACCTTCTTTGTCCATATAGTGTGGAGGTGTGTGAAGCTTTT